CATTGCAGACAATTAGCTTTTTAGAACTAGATTAAAAAAAAAAAAAAAGTTGCAGGGAAAACTATAAACATTATTTCCATGTTTTCCAGTGTTTCATACCAGGTAAGAGTTTTGCTGTGTTTTTTGAAAGTGTCAGATTAGACAGAAGTTTTACTACAACCTGATCCAAGAACACAGACTACACTCACAGATTATTCTACAAAACCTGCAGCAGAAGGCCAGAAAAGCTGCTGATTAAGGACCTAGAACAAATAACAAAGAAACAAATACACAACACTTCAGCCATCATAAACTTAATCAAGTTATGTGCCTTTGAATACACTGGGTTCTTCCAGCAGAGGAAACAGCAGCTTCTTGTTTTTGTGTTAAATCTCTGAAGAACAACACCAATCCTGTTCAAGGAAAGGAAACAAAGTTACAGGCTGGATCAGCCAGAAGTGCTTCCTCCATTCAAGGTGCCAGAACAAAACACGTGAATTGTTGACAACAATGTGGAAATGCAATGATGGAACACCTGAAAGTTAAATCAACATTTTTCTCCTATTGTTTTAGGTCCAAACATCCAAAGGACAGATTCACTGTCAAATTCTTGAGCCAGAAAGAAAATCAGCCTCTGACTGCATTGTTCTGATGGAAAACAATCAGCTTGCCAGCATGAAATCTCTTCAAGTGAAAGAAATTCAGGAACTAAACCCAAACCAGTCAGGAACAATTTCACTGCCAGCAAAATTGTCAGCAACAGCAGGCAAGAAAGTAGTTTGAAAATACATGGGGGTTCCCTATCTCTGAACAGCCACTTTCTTCTCAATCTGTTCTCAATCAAAAGTTAGTTCTTCCTGGCTTTTCGACTGTCTACTATTTGTGAAAGTTTCCAGAGGTGCAGTCTGTCAAAATAGCTGACTTCTGCCTATAAGTCAAATCCATTCTAAATGATGAAAAGCCTGAAATAACAGCCTAATCTAAAGCAGAACCATCCCTATGATGGGAATAGGGCTGTTACTCCAGAAGGATCTTACACATCTGACTGTTCCACGATTTTAAATGCTCCAAACAGGAATTTAGTTTCTAGATATTTATGACATCTTCCCATTTGGAAATATCTCCCCTTCTCCTCTGGAAATACCTGAATGCTGCTGTTTGCAAATGCTTACCTCAGGCTGTGATGGGGCTGAACACAGCAGCCTCCTGCTGTCCATTCATGACTACAGCTGAGGGAACAGCTGATTGAAGCTGCAGATGAACCTAGAGCCACGAGGCTTCTGCTCATTCACCTCCTCTGAATCACACAGGCAAGACTTACAGGTAACACCAAAAATCAGCATTTTATATCCTCCAACTAACAGAAAATGTGGGATCACCACTAAGCATGGGAGCTGTGCAGGAAGAAACAGGACAGAGTATGAGACATGATCAAATCAACTCACTCTAGGGTTTGTTTTTTTTTTTTAATATTTACAGTAGCATAAAATATTTTCTCAGTTAAATAAAATACATTACAAAATAATAAGGAGTAGAATAGAGTTCCTTGAACACCAACCATCATATTGCAGGTGAATTTCTACTAGAGATCTTAAATCACCCCAACAGGAGGGGTGGATGGTAAGGTTGAGGAAGAAAGCAAAGGAGCCCTGTCCTGAGAGCCTGTTGTAGAGGTGAGGCATCTGCCACAGAGCTGAGACTGCAGAGGTTCCCATTCCACTGCAGGTAAAAGGCAAAGATTACATTTTGTGCTGATGAGGTTTGAGACAGAGAACCTTTCTGCACCTCCAGAGATCAAGAACTGACATTGTAGGATATGTTTTGAAAGCTTTTCAGTTGGTAGAGATTTTGTAAACTAAAACTAAGATGTTCAGGAGCAATGGGTGGTACTTGCCAAGAGGCACTGGAACCCCCACCCAGGCCTGGGCAGGGAGAGGTCATGGCCATTAAAACAGAAGGCAAAAAATGATTGAAGTTAACTTTATTCCAAAATATGTATAATTTACAGGACTGAATAAGTGCTTCATTTATGAACAAAACATTTCAATACTTGTGAATAACTTACTAGTAGCTTTGTGTAACACTTCAGTTTCCAACAGAGGGAAATATGAAACAGTATTTTGGCACAAGGTTTTCTCTGCATGCAATAATGTAATTACAAGTTTCACAGTTACTAGGACAACATTCCTTCTTTGGGATTGTCACTTGTAAAATAGGTCTAAGAAATGAATGCTTGATTTTGTCTGGTCACTGCAAGTTTACTGGCTTAAATAGCAAGAATTAAACATGAACATCCTTTGAAAACTAGATTTGTCTACTAAATAAAAAAAAATCCCACAGTAATGAAAAGAAAAGTATTTTAAGGACATTTCTCAGCCTTGCTGAGATTAACTCACACACACTTTGGGAAAGACTCACCCACATGAGATTTATTACTCATTCATTGCAAATAATTACAAACTTTAATGAGATTGTAATCAGGTGTTGAAGTCTTTAAGCTGTAGAGATATGGCCAAATTTCATACCTAGCTTTATCAGAGATGCACTTGCAAATGTCTGTAGATAGAGGTACTGTCAATCTAGCTCTGCATGCAGGTGCTTGAAGCATGTAAAGCACTGGATGTTGTGAAATGTAGAGCTGGCATCACCACAAGCCATCTATTATATTCCACAGCTAGTTGTTGCAGGTGCTGTAAAGCCAGCATATGAAAAATGGTCACAAGTAAAGGGACTTCTGTTATTTAACCCAGCAGTTCCTTGAGGCGTTTCCACCACTTCAGGCTGTCTGGTTACATTTCCAGTGCAGTCACACACACAAACACAAACATTCCTCACCCTGACTGCGGGGCTGAGCACTGAGTTCTGTTCATTGCATAGCAATGGCACTTGAAACAAGAGAATTCAGTCCTGTTCTAAGAAGCAAGTCCTTCTTGCACATGTTTAAATTTGCATCAACTCTTAAAAAACAACAACAAAAGAAACAGAAGATGCATGATTGCACCATACACTGGTTTGCTACCATTAAACAGCCAAATCCTCACAGTGTTCCTGTTCTCAATGGCAGCCTGGTTACTGGAGGCCCATCCTACCAGGACACAAGCATAGCAGCACCTTAAACCAAACAGGAATGAGAAAGCTTGCAAGGCCCAGAATGTTACCAACAGTTTGGTGTGAATGTATTTGGAACAGTAAATGGTACATTAAGATCATGTTTAAAAAATCAGCACATGTCAGAAACATATTAAAGCAAAGGAAGCTGTACAACCTTAATGATAAAGGCAAGCACATTTGGTTCACTCAGAGTTGCCATTTCAGGAACATGTTCTTTTGCAAGTTCAGCACCCTATGTTGATTCAGTATCAGTTCTACTAAATTTCCCTACATTTATAAGGCTATTAAACTCCCTCTAGCCCCCTAAGTCCCCAGTCCTGTCAACTCTTACATTTCTACCCAGCCTCACAAAAAAATCAATTCACATCTTAGCAGCATAAGGATTTAGAACAGTGGAAGGCAGCCATCATTCTTTGTTCTCTTGCTCCTACATAACTGGGGTCCATATGACTAACAGGGAAATTCAGCCTCTTGTTTCCAACAGAAAAAAAACCTGTGTATTGTGCCTTGAAATAAAAGTTTCTAAGGAGTTAATTACATACATTATGTTACAGACACTGATCAAGTTGTTCAAAACAAAACGAGGTTTCACGAGGTTTCTTTTACAGCTGTTTAATTCACAGCTGCAAGTATTTACACATTTTTTAATGCTTTCATATCCTTTGGAAATGAGAATTTTCTAAACTCAAGCAGCTTTGCATAACTAAGAATACGTAGCATTAGCAAACTCTGACTTAAAACTACCAATTTTTCTAGGCCAACACAAAGTTTTGGGGAGGACTCCCTCCCTACCCACAACAAAAAGTATTTACAGGTGTATTAGCAGAAATAGACACAAATAAAGCTGCAAGAAGAGGAAACATCTACTGTCAGACAAACCTTTAGCATTCTGACAAACAAATATGGAAGGCAACAAGACAGACCTTTAATTTTTCAGCTCATTTGTGCTTATGTTCTCCAGAGTGCAAGTTCCAAATCTGCTGTTTCTTTTGTTTGACTCTTTATATATTAAAGAAAAGCACAAATGAAACTACAAAAGTACTAATTCAATTTTATAATAGTGTTACACAGGCATCCAGATCAAGATCCAGCAATCACAGCTTAACAGAATTAAGCAGGAAACACAAAGGGTAAGTACACATAACATTAGTATCACTTCCAGATAAAAAAATGTGCTAAGAGGCTACAGGGAATCTGATGTTACTTTCTGTATAGCAGCTTTAATGGCAATAGAGGATACAAAAAAGAGTGAGGCAGGAAGTCACTGCTGACCAATACTTACAATACAGTGCCTTGAAAATCAAATCAGAGACAAACTGCAGAAAAAGGGAGATAAGTATCATTTTAGTTCTACCCAGAAATAGTTGTGGCTGAAGTTTATTTTATAACAAAGGCAAAAATAGAAAATCAGCCTTTTTCAAAATTTGTTTAAATGTGAAGAATTTGTAACATTCAGCAATAGTGTTTCAGATCAGGTTTCATGAAGTTTTCTGTGGGATTCACCAAACTATGAAGTCTGGCTGCAGTCCTCACATTTTCACAAAAGTACTTAATAAATCCAAACTGAGTGACATATGCCAGACATACATGATCCAAACCTGTTTTTGAATGAATAATTTTATTATGACTTTAATGAATAATTTATGGAGAACCAAATTAGTGAAGAAAGAAGTTAATTTTGGTCAGAAGTTAATTTCATCTTTCCTAAGACAGTGCAGACATTTAATAATTTCTTAATACTGCACTTTCAATAAATGACTTCAAGTTGTAGTACTGTGTTCACCTAATCAAAATGCAAATTGTTTTAAACAAATAGAATGAGTGAAAGGATTGTGATTTAAGTGTTCTAATAAAATACACAAATCTCAAAAAGACTTTTAATTAAAAACTACAATAACTGGGTAATGATTACATTATAATCACACAAACTTTTGGGTCTTTTCCTGACAGTCCCTGATGCTAAGGGCTTTGGCTTACACAATAACATGGCAATTATCACTCTAATTTGTAAATTAGTTTCCAAGTACTTTAAACCTCGCTGTTCTCTCAGATGGCTACAATTCAAACTCTCCAGTAATTCTGCTCCTCAGCACCCAAGATTCCTTCTCCTGCAGAGTAAAGGCTGACTTTCTAAATTCAGAGGTAATGAACAGCTTCTACAGCTGTGGAAAATACCCTTTTCCCAAACCAGGTTTATAGTGACTGCCTCACTTTCACGTGTCAGTACAGACAACTTGCACATGGCAAACACAGAAATCAGGGTATGAAGAAGCATTCTCTGGTATTCCAGCCAGGGGAAGGAAGGAGAAGGAAAAACACTTCAAAATCAGAAGTTGCAACATTACCAGAAAGATATTGCAATAGAATAAATTAACTTAATTTTGTTCTTTATCTTCTATCTCAGTTTCAAAGTAGGCAAGTAAATATGAGTCAGTCTTCTTCACAAGAAACAAAATTACAAGTGAGGCCTTCCTTCTTTAAAGATATCCCACCCTTCAGATGAGAACTCTACAGACATCGTGAAACCTGGGGGCATTCCCCACAGCAGAGTGACTTTCTCCTGAGGAACTGCAAGATTCCCATCTGCAGTTTCTTCAGCCAGACTGGAAGTGTCTGAAATCATACCTAGAAATGTTGAAAAATCAAACAGGCAACACAGATGGGGTTTCAGGAGGAAAATATGAGTTTCAGGATGAATCTGAAGAGATTATTTCAGTAAAGACACTCACCATGGCAATATAAAGAGTATTAAGAAAACACAAAGGAAAAAAAAAAAGGAAAAAAGAAAGGTATTGCTCATCTGCAACAAAAACAAGCTGGCTGCAATGGATGAGTAAATTAACTCCCACATTCTTGAACTGAGAATATGCACACAAAGCACAGGGAGTCCTCAAAACCTAAGGCTTGGACATACATTTGCTGCTGGGCTGCACAGTAAATTTGCAGCCAATACCTCTCCTCTAACAATGGAGGAGTAAAGTCTGTTACAGGCTCAGGAATTTGACACAAAGAGCTTTCCTTTAAGGTTACAGTAAAACTAAAACCTGTCCAGTACAAAACCAGAGGCCTACATTTCACAGATAGAGTAAGAGATAAAAATTACTTAAGGCCAAATTCCAACATACATTCACAACTGGCTTAATGTAAATGAAAATACTGCAAACAGTGGCATGAGGGGCAACCAAAACATTAAAAAAAAGGTGCCAAGAGGTCATATGATTCTTCTCTGAAAAATCAGTTTGTGTGAGTTTGATTATACTCTGGGAAATTGTGAAAGCTGCAGGAACTGAGGGCTGCAGATCAAAGTACAAAAGCAAGATAGAGCTGTTCTGCAAGGGCTTCTGTGAGCTGATCTCCCAGCTCTGCTGAATGGATTCCAACTCTCTTTGGAAGCAGGAAGTCCAAAACCAGAAGTCAAGGTGAGTGTTTTAAGGAATTTAATTGTCCATTTTTAAAGATTTCTCTTAAGGTAGTAAACCACTGTAACATTTCTGAACTCGTATCTCAATAAAGCTAGGAGAATTTCAGCAAAACCAAATTATTCCAGTCTCTGAGGCACACACATTGTAACATTTGCTTCTTCAAGACAGAAATAATTTAAGCAAATCCCTTCTGAAGACTCTAAAAAATGTTAGTCCCATGTATTACACTAGCTAAAAGGACAACATACTAATTTTCCCTACAATTATGAATTCCAAGTTCTTTTCCTACCCTTCAAAGAGCATCAGTGCCACTCAGGGAAAAAAAAATACTGCTTTCTACACACTTGTTTAATAATAAATATTTTCAACAATTCAAGAATCTCTATGTGTCTAGTGTGTTGGATAGGTATTTGGAAAATGTCAGCTTATGCAGGAGAAAGAGCTGTGAAGGCATAAAGTAAAAGAAGACAATAGGGCTGATTATGTTCATGCCGGATTTAAAATACAAGCTACTAAAAAAAGTAAACAGAAGTAGCTTACACTAATAGAATCCTCCCCCGTAAGTTCAGGGAAGCATCTCAACTGAACAGCTCAGGGTTTTGGTCCAGTGCATTGGAACCCTGCATGGAAGCCAGGAATAGAGAGAGAGATATAGAGAACAACTTTAAAAGTTCTTCCCCTTAGATGAAAGCAGTAACAGCTTCATAAAGAAGTTTGAGGAAAAAACATAGGCACCACATAATTTTTTAAGGTTCAAATGTACATTAACGTGTTACAGCCCCCCCTTTCCCCTCTATTTATACACACATAGTTTATGTAAAGTTACATATTCAATAGAGTACCTTCAGCATGAAAAGTCTCTTAGGTTGACTGCTCGTGACAAGTACATTCAACAATGCAAAGTGGATCACTTGGTAAAGCCATCTCTCCCACCCCAATAAGTTAAATTCAAACCACAAGAAACAGTTCTATTATGTAGCACTCAGTGGCTGGGCTTGTCAGAGCTCTGGAACAAGGAGCACAGCTCTTCACAGGTCTGTGTTTCTACTGAACTGAACTGGGACTCCATTGTATTCCAGGCTAAGTCAGCCAGAAGGAAGTCATCCATTGCTGTCTGTGTTTCATTGCTGGTAAGGAATAAACTCCCCAGATTCTCAAAGCAGCTATCCATAGTCTGGGTCTCAGCACTGCTGAGCTGGACTTTGCTTTCAATATTCTGAGCAGGTGTGTTTTTAGTAGCCATATATACTTCTGTCTGGGTTTCTGTATCAGATGAGTCAGTGCTCATTGAGAAACTGGACTGTTTCAGAATACTTCCTAAAGGCAGATGGGTAGTACTGTCCAAAAAGAAATTCAAGTCTGTCTGGGTCTGTGTATCAAACATCTCCAAACCTAAGAAGTTAGAATTGCCTCGGCAGTTATAGGATTGAGTGGCACTATCTGAAAATAAGAAATCAGTCTGAGTTTCAATGTCCAGTGACTCCAAAACTGGCTCAGAGTTCAGGGTACCAAGCTCACTCTCTTCAGTCTGAGTTTGGATGTTGGATGCTGAAAAGAACTCTTCAATGTCGAAGTCTATCCCTGTGCTCTGTGATGGAGCAGATGGAAGATGTGTGTCAGCATTAGAACTCGTCTCAGACAAAAGGCCACGATTATCCAGGGTCTGGCCAGACATGTTTCCTGAAAAAATGTTTTCCAGATCACTTAGCAGGTCCATTGTCTGGGTTTGATTATCTGTTGTATTTTGAGATGGAAGTATATTAGTCTGTGTATTGAAGCTGATAAGGGATTCAGACTTAACTGTATCCTGATTCAGGCTCTTGCAACTACTTCTCTGCAGCAAGGTTTGATCTATATTTGCAGGCATTAAATTGTTTTCTGGAAGTTCAATGTGAGTAGAAACATTGTATGATGAAGGAACATTGTCAAAAATGTCACTGCACATTACAGCCTGGTCCATCTGTACCCTTCCATCAATACAGTCCTGTGTCCTGCTGGTTTGAGTCTCTCTGGAAATGCCACACGTTGGAAAACAGCCCTGGCTGAAAGCATCAGTCTGAGCAGCTATGGATGAAGTCAGCTTGGAAGCAGGCAGCAGTGTCTGTGTCTGTACACTGATGGGTAATGAGACCTGGGAACTGAATGACAGATCTGTCTGAGAACAAGAGGACACAGAAGAATTGGGAGTCCAGGCTGCAGCTGGTACAAAGCTCTGGGAGATGTAAGATAAGTCAGTCTGTATATTTATTGAAGAAATTTTGTTCTTGTGACAAACATTCCCCAGCTCTTGTCCTGGGTTATTTGATGTCACCTTGTCCAATTCAACTTGTACACCAGTACTTACTGGTTCCCGATCACCAGAAGCTGTCACCTTTGAAACAGGCATAGTGTCTTTAAATACAAGTGTTTCTGCCTCCAGGGCTGGAATCAGGATTCCTATAGACTGAGGCAATAAATGAACAGTACTTACAACAGAACCTTGATTATCAACAGCCACTACAGCAGGTTTGACAGAAGAGTCTGTTGCAGATACATACACAGGCAAGTGAGCAACCTGCATCACTGGAAGTTTAACCAAAGCCACCTTGGGCTTGGGTAAAAGCATCTTTGGTGCACATTTTGGCTGCATTTGGTTTGTGAAGTTAGAACTGCAGGAGCCTTCAAGAGAGGCGGCTACTTTCACTTCAGAGGACTCCAATTCCTGAGTGCCAGGAGCAGTACTGCGGGTATTGCTGAATGCTTTGTTTGCCTTCTCTGCCAACTGCTGATTATGAACGGAGGACTCCATTTTCCTTTTCTTACTAGGAGGATCCCTGTGAACATGAGATCAATAATTTATACTTCTTTCCAACACAGAACATCTGCCTTCCATTCTTTTGAGTCACTGCATTGAAAATACCAACTGAAGTCACAGATGAGGTTGGACACGAGAAGACAATTAATCCAGATTAAAACATAAAAAGACTCCACGAAGTTCAATTTTGCTAAATGTCATTCCTCACTCTCTCATTTTAAATAAGAATAAACACTACCCCTTATGGAGACCTATTTCCAAATGGATGTGCAAGTTTAGATGGTGTCTTCCCCTCTCACATTAAGCACACTGATTTGAAGACTTTTAATGTGTTATTGTGACACTGACTCAGAGTGAGGCTTGAAGGGACAGAGCTCTTACAATATGTGTACAGGTAATGGTTTCTCATGCAAATAGAAGATAAAAAAGAGCAATTCTTCACAGAAAACTTAAATTTTGCAGCAGCTGAACCTTAAAGACAGGCTAGGCTTCAGAAAGTAGATTGCCCTTTATGAAATATATGGATATATTGAAACTATAAATCTAAACATAGATGGTAAAAAATACATCCACCAACAATCGCAACAATGACTAGACTGTACAAGAAAGTAACCTGAGCTGCATTCCACACCTCAGTTACCAGCTATAAATATCTCCAAATCATGTCTACTCTCACAGAACTGGAAAAGCAGATGCAACAAGAACCACCACCATTTATGCCAAGCACTGCAGTGTCATCAGTACTTTTTGTTTTCTCTGTGGGGAAACCAGATCTTACTGATTAGATGACCACCACTGCCTTCCACAAAACAGAAACTCCTAAAAGCAACAAAGAAACTGCAAACTGCTAAAACAACATGACCCTAATTTCCTATTTAATCAACAGAAAGGAGACAAAAAGGCATCACAAGACACACAGGACTTGGTGATGAATTATCATTTTTTCACTGCTTCACTTTTACCTGTGTTCTGCAGGGATTTCATGGCCAGTTCTGTAAATGTGAGACAGTAATGCTGTTCTGCTGGCATAAGGGCACCCACAAGTACACTGGAAAGTCTTGCCACAGACCTCTATGTGTCGTTTCAAATACCATTCTGTGCCATAGGAGTTACTACATTTATCACATTTGTGCTTCTTTTCAGCATGCATTTTCATAAAGTGCTAGAATACACAAGGGAAAGTAAACATTAGCATTCAGTGAAGATTAAAAGAAGAAAATCACGGTTAGGGAAGAAAATATCGGCAATTTTTAGTTGCTAAGTAGCACTGAAGTGTAGCATTAATTATTTTTTTAAAGTGTTACTACAAATAAATTTAACGAAGTCAATAGAGAGAATGTGAAGTTTGCAAATCTGCTGATGCTACATGCATCTTAAAAACACAGATAAACATCTCCCCATTCTAATGCCATTGCAGGATTCCTGTGGACATCAATAAATCTACAGATCAATCTTGCCCAAAGAGCACAGTAAGTCTGTGCTACATCCTGCTCCTGAGGATGTACAAGTGAGCAAATAATCTCAAGTCACACAGGTCAACACCAGAGCAAACACCAGAATTTTTCCTTTTCATCTATGGCACCAAGTGCCAGCCACTCAGCTCCTCCAGGTAACCCCAGCTCAGCACAGGTAACCAAGTGCAGCACAGGGCTCTTTTTGCTCACTACTGCAGAAACAAGTCTTAGATGTTTCCTTAAACAGGTTAACTAGTAAACAAATGCATTTTGGTATTAAAGCAGAGAAAAGCTCTTAATCCTTGACCACTTGAAAAAAGCAGTTAAAAGCATCAGCCACAGTTAAAACCTTCATCAGTTGCTACTGAGATTTCTTTCCCCCTCTCCTTTAATCTTTCTCCATCTATTTCATTTGTGGAGAGGGGCTCTGATCTAGTTTAGAAGAACTTACTGGCATCTGTCTGATCAAAAGGTTCAAGTCCTCAAATATAAACATGCAAACATGCAAACTCATGAATCACATGTGCACTTGTTCTCTAACCTCTGCTATGTGCAGAGAGGTTATGCTCGTATCTGTATGCAAAAGTGCACATTCTCTGGAGTAGAGACAGTGGACTAAATCAGTGTGAAAATACTTCAGGAAACAGGAATACCTGTTTTACAAGAGAAAATTGGGAAAATGGTCTGTTTGGTCCTCTAGGGCAGCCTTCAATAGGACAGCAGTAGAATTTCTGTGAAGTTTTCAAACCCTTCCTTATTGGTGCATTAAGTTTTCCATCCTGAAAAAGAACCAGTTGAGAAGTTGACAATTCTACAGGTTTGCATATTCAAGACAACATTCAGAATAAACATCAATGACTATGACTCACTGAGTTTACACAGTGAGTTGGAGGCACTTTCCTATGTGATTTGAAAGTTCAAATGGAATTTTTGCCCTGTGTGGATGCCACTTTGCAAATATCCTATCAAAATTACAGGTGCAATTACAACAAGCTCTATGGAGCAGTGGTACTGTACTATTTACTTTTACCAAGACACTCCCTGTCCCATGTTTCCTGTTATTTGAGCAAAAAAAAAAAAAATTTCCATACAGATACTACCCTAGACTGCTGATTCAATGTGGTGTTACTTGTTAGTAGCACAGAATGTGAAGCTCCATTAAGATCAGTCACTGAAACACAACTTCCTTGATGCTGGAATTCTCTTAGCACTGTTTAGAGTTTACTTGTAATAAAAATGAAAAGTGCCAAGTATGCTCTGCCACTTAATTTAGATCATGAACCAAATCTCACTAAAGTCTACGAAACAACTGGTATGGTAATTCTGACCCTCCAAACACTGAGTGACCAATCTATTCAGGCATCCATGTGAGCTGTCTCACTGACCCTCACATGAAGAAAACAACACAACTTGCTCAAAGAGGACCTCAAAAGTACATATAAGAAGGACATATTAGTGGGATTGTCCAGATTGTTCAACCACATAGAATCCCTTCTGGCATGGAAACCAGACAAGTCATATACCTCTAGACATACCCTAGCTGAAATGGTCTCGGTGGAAGCATCAGGCATCTGTGTCTAAGCAAAAACTTAAAAGTGAACTATTTAAAATCTGATGCTCAGAGTAGCTGTGAGTCTCCTTCCATGCTGAGGCTGAACTGGGGCCAAACACAGTCCCCAGAGGCAGTTAGTGCAGTCCATGATGGCATCCCCAAGATGATTTTTCAGGGAAGAAATGGGACCATGCCCTGCTTGAACTCTGCACCTGATTTTCCTTAGCACAGTCAGTAATGGAAGGTTGATTTCACACCAGGCACTCCCTAACTACCCCTGTGGGCAGATCTCCAGCTGGGGCTGTTTACACAATTACACCAAACACAGAGAATGCACAAAGCACAACAGCACAACAGTGTGAGGCAAACCAAGTGTGCACCTCAGTGCCAGGGCCCAAAGGGCTTCACTGCCCACACCCCCACCTCACCCACCTGCAGTTACTCACCACCCAACAATGCTGTCCTCAGCCACCATGCCATGCTTCTGAAGTCCATTTACACCTCAGGAAGCTGGGGATATTTCAATGATTTTGTATTCCCTCAAATCACCTCTTAAGATAAAATAATCTGTAAAATGTAATCCCTTCAAGCAACATTTCAGTTGTATTTCCACACAACACTGCTACTTGCTGCCACCGTTACAAGTTCATTTTTATCAATGACATATCAGACTCAAACAAGCAATGTTTAGAGCCTCTTGACCAAAATGATCACCTGCCATATCAAGAAAACCTGGAATAAGTCTCTAAAAAGGGACTTTTCATGTAACATTTTTACCTTCTAAGCACCTTGTACAGCAGTTTTCCCTGTGGACAGCCCATTCACAAACAGGCCTGTTCTATCTCTGCTGAATCATCACTGTGACTATTGTTGTACCTCCCAGAGCCACTGCCCTAAACAGGAACATGACACAAAGAAATCTAGCTGCTCCAGCCCCAGTTCCACTTTTTAACCCTGACTTTACACAGAACACTTTCATCACATGTCAAAGTCCTCATGAAAAAAGATCTGCCTTTAAGTCAAAGCTATGCTTGGCCTCTCCCACTGCAGATGATACCAACATGCTGAGTAACTGGCAATTGGAGTTACTTATTCCTAAATAAAAAGTTATTAAATGTGTTATATTTAACATCACAGCCCAACAACTGACAGGGCAATATGGGAAACGTGTTCAGCCACTTGACAGGTAAACCTCAGTCAGGTTATTTAAAATGACTGAAACACTAAGGTATAGAATAACACCAAGTGTTTAAAAGCTTTACAGACACCAGTAAAATGCCTTTTTAACAGCTGGAACACAGCCTTTAGTGGCAAAGACCACAACACTTTAGTTGTGACAAGCTGAGACATACTCTACACATATAAGATATTGTTTATGGTCAGTAATCCTGCTTTGACCTTTCCCAAGTCCTTGTGGCTCTAAATGGTTAATCCTGCATCTTCTCAAAGCCCACCTGGCCAGACCTGTTTCAGACATTCTCACAGCTTCCTTCCTTACCCATCTGATTTTCTGTCCCACGTTTCTACAACATCCACCCACCACAATTATTGGTAGATATTGGTGCAATGAACTTCTCCCAGTGCAGACACTTGCAGTGTAAGGAACACTGCCATGGCTTGTGACACCAACTGGGAAGGCAGGAATTAACAGTCCCTGCTGCAGACTGAGTCAAAGTGAACTTAGTGACGTCTCACTTTCCTGCCCCAGAAAGGCTTACTCCAAAGGATTAATCTGAAATGATGCTGCAGTAGACTGTAGTCAAGTATTTAAAATATGGGGGTTTTGCAGCAGAAGTTCAATCATTTCTTTACTAAATAGGACATGGAGAGAAGTGCATTTATTCCTATGATAACAATCATTGTGGTAGTGCAGTACCTGAGTAACTCACCTCAAGGGTGTGCTCCCCTTCCAGCTCACACTGACTACACCCTCCCAGTTATCACAGTAATCCACAGAATCCTCTCCCTTACATGAGCTTTTCTAGCTTCATCTTAAACTAAACTCCTGTCGTTTCCCATAAAATAACACAGCCAAAAGACCAAAGAATTAAAATGAAAAATTCAAGTTTATATCCACTACTCTCATTTCTTAAATTAGCTTATCCTCTGTCAAGGAGGCAAAAAAATTATATATCAACACTTCGTATCTTCTTTGTTAGGCAAAACAAGCCAAAGATTTCTAATTTCCCTTTGTCAGACACAGTTGCCATTAGTCACCCTTAGCAGTTATTTCTACACATCTCCCAGTTCATTTTAACTTACTGGAATCAGATTCTTACCCTACAGTACTGACACAGAATATCCCTCTGCCATATTTTAGGATTGCCCTTTTCACAGCAGCTTTACCCTAAATGCTCATTCATGTGCATTAATATAATAATAACCAAATTATTTTGCAAGTGTTTCCCACCTCAGGTTATTTCTGTTACAAACCAGAGCTGATCAAACTGTTTGTTATCACTCCACAAGACTAAAACCTGGTACTGCTGCACTTGACTCTGCTTTTACAGGGCAGTCTCTATGTAAATGTCCTTTCTTTGCCACTGCAATCCCTCTTGGGTTTTAATATAAAAACACCCTACTGGTGCTACTTTTATTAATGAAAATTAACCAAGTCATCCTCCCTTCTCTTCAGGAGTACTGTGTACTCTCCTTCTCCAATAGCTTCTTACCATCTCATTTGCCAAGTTGCCTCTTCATTATTTTAATATTTCACTAATAAATGCAATCTACTATACTATTATTATCTGGGAAATCAGCTACCTCTTAAAAGGGAATACCAATATTAAAGTATTTTGTCTCCCTTAAACCTCAACAACATTTTAGTCTCAATTACAATGCCCTTGAAACAACTCAAGAAGTTTCTGAAAGTCTGCATTCATCCACATTTCAGTATTTACTCCAAGCTATCCCCAGCTTCAGTAATTAGGTGTATGGAGCTGCTCTAATTCTACAAACACTGGTGGCTAACAGCAAGCTGGGTGAGAAAGCAGCATTTGCTCACCCATCATAGCCTGAGTTATGTAACCCACCAGCTGCACTGCACGCTCAGAGCATCAGCTCACAACCAAAATGACTCTGCTGACCCTAAAGAACACTTGGAACTTCTGCTGTACCTCCCCCCACACAGACATGTGAGATCTAACACATAACACACAGTGAAGCTGCTGGTTGGTATAGGAAATGAAATGAAAACATCCCAGGGACACAAGACAGCAAGTACACTTGACACTATTTCCTTTTGTTCCTCACCAAGGAGCACGTGTGACCCACGCTTGACTCTGCAGCCATTTCACAGAACAGGGATGTTCATTGTTCACCCACTGAGGCTGCACTTTCAGAATGCAGCTATGAATGCCGCATTTGAAGTTTTCCAGGAATATAATTTGTCCTTGCACACTTGGCATTACAATTTTGGGAAAAGCAAGGATATCTTTCCAAAAGGCCCACTCTCAATGTGTGCCTGCTGAACTGTGCTTCTCCTCCTCCCCAGCACATGCTTAGCTCAGGAGTATTATGGAAATGAGGGCTTGTTTCCAAAATGGCATCCATCTGTTTTGCTGGGGTTTTTTTTAGCTCAGACATTTAAAAAAAAAACAAACAAAACCCCAGCATAACAGCCCTCGGCGCTGGGATGGAGATGGTTTGCCAGCTGATAAGGTTAGGAAATGCTGCATGTTTGCACAGCACCTCACAAGTGGGGCTTTAAAGTCTTACTGCAGAAAGATTGGTGATAAGCAAGTAAAACAACAGAAGCTGTGTCCCAAAGAACTCCTAACTGCCTATGGTATGTTTACAAAAATGTGCAAAATCGGTTATTTTCTGTAAGTAATTTTAGAGGAATCCTCAACACAACTGGCCAGCCCATTCACATACACACTTTTGTACTTATACAGGGACCTGCAGGGGCCTTTCACGAGGGGAAATTTAAACAAAAGACAACGAGAAACACTTCATTATTCCCACCTGGAATCACAGAACAGTTTGGGTTGACAGGGGACCTTGAACATCATCTTGCTCCATGGGCAGGGAAACCTTCCACAATGCCAGGTTGCTCTGAGCCCCGTCCAACCTGGCCTTGGACACTTCACACACACAGGGGCAACCTGTGCCACGGCCTTCCCATCCTCACAGTGAAGAACTTCCCCCTAATATCTGACCTAAACCTGCTCTTTGCATTTGAACCCGTCCCCCTTGTCCTGCCACTCCAGGCTCCTGTCCCCATCCTTTCTGTGAGCTCCCTCCAGGTGCCAGAAGGCCTCAATGAGGTCACCCCACACACCCTCCATTCCAGGCTGAACAACCCCAACTGTCTCAGAACCTCCGGGAAGAATCCCGGTCCTTCTCGGGGTGGGAATCACACCGCCCCTGAGCCTCGCTACCAACCAAACCCAGCACAGCCAACACCGCAGCCGCCCCCCGGCCCCGAGCCGGCCGCAGGCCCCGGGGCGGAACACGGCGCTGCGCCAGCCAGAGCCACGGCGGCACGGTGAGGGGCCGAGCGGGGCCGGCCCGGCCTCACGGCGGTACCTGCAGCGGGTGCGCCTTGCTGAGGTGCATGTTGAGGGCCGGGCTGTTGGGCAGCACCTTCCCGCAGCCGGGCACGGTGCACAGGATGTTGGTCCGCACTTGGGACAGCTCTGTCACCGAGGGCCGCACCAGCTCCCCGGCGGGCGGCACGTCCCTCACGGGCGCGGGGGGCCGCCCCAAGCCCCCGCCACGCCGCCCGGCCGCCGCCGCCATGTTGCTGTCAGCTGCTCCGGCCCCGCTCCGCTTCCGGGGGCGGCGGCCAATCGGCGGCGGCGCTGCTGAATATTCATGAGGCACGTGGCGCGGCCCCGCCCCCGGCCCTCAGCGCCCCGCGGCGGCGGCTGCGAGCGGTGCGGCCGGGCCCGTGCGCGCTCCCGCGGCACAAAGCGCGCACCCGGCGCACCGGGACAAACGGCGAGGGGCAGCCTGGGCACGGCCCCGGGCCGGCGCACACCGCTCCGGGGCTCCGGTGATTGTGCTGCACCGGGAAGTGGAGAGGAGGCACCGATTTCTCCGCTGGTCAGGGCCGGGACGCGAGGGAACGGCCGAAGCCCCGGCGGGAGGGTGGGGCTGGGATTAGGGGAAGGTTCTTCATGCAGAGCACGGCCATCGGAACAGACCCCCGGGAATGTCACAGCAGCAGCCTGACACAGCTCCAGGAGCAGCGGGAGAACACTCTCAGTCACAGGGTGGGATTGTTGGGGTGTCCTGGGCAGGAGCTGGACTTGAGCAGCCTTGTGGGTCCCATAGAATATTCTATGATTTCCTGATATTGGAATCACCAACACAACACTCAGAGGTTTTTCCCCTAGAGCTGGTCAAGTTAAGGGAAAAGATGCACACCAGACTTCGGGTAAGAGCTGTGCCATGGGTGTAGCCCCAGGATGTGTGCTCCTCTGCAGCCCCTGTGCCCTCAGCGGCAGGCATTCTGCTGCTTGGGGACAGCACAGAATAGTTTGGGTTGAAAGGAACATTTAAACATCATCTAATCCAATCCAGAACTTCCAAACTGCTGGAACAGACCAACTGGAATGGGGAAGACAAGACTGGTCTCCACATTCCCCCTTCTCACCTCCTCCATGGGGACACCTGCTCAGCAAGAAGGAACCCCAGAGCTGCAAATGTTTCCTGACAAATTAATAAATGCACACCTCCTTGCCTGGAAATGCTGTGTAGTTCCTGGAATATCCCTGCTTACAGGAAGTTAAGAGATAAAACATCTCTGAAAATCAGATACTAAAAAGGGGATGGAGGCTGCCTTTCCCAGAAACAAGAGGCAGCAGGCCAGGTACTCGCAGTGTTCTAGAGCACTTGGGAACTTTACCTTGATGGTAAATCACTGCCCTCTCAGGCTTTTAGGTTATTTGGGAGAGAGCATTATGAAGAACAAGTTGCACAGAGTGAAATACATGCTGGAATCTTAATGGACCTGAATCCTGGAAGTATGGTGGAATATGGTAAGAGCCAGCTCTTAATGTCTGTCACACCAAACCTGGAATTCTTCCACAATCCTAACATTATGTTAAGTACTTTGTCAAATCAACATTTAAATCACACAGGTGGAATTCCTAAAATCCACTAGCACTAGCAGATAGTCCTAAAGCCATTTTCATGTGTGAGGTATAGAGATGCTGAAAACCAAACCAAAAATCTGTATGTGGTAAGTATTGTTTTCAAGTCAGGCCAAACAAATTTTCATGAAATGACTTAATTTACACATTTATTTACAGTCTACAACAAAAAACATGCCCATACAACCTCTGGAAATATGGCTGCTTCTGTACACTGAGATATTGAAAGTATATTGGATATTCTATATACACCAAGTGCACACAAAACAATCCAGAGAACAGAATTAAAAGTAAAAACTGGTACATTTTAAATGATTCTTCAGACTGTTGCCATCTCAATTCCATAAACTTTGTTCCCAAGCAAAAATCCAGTGGCAGCAGGCAAGGATTTGAGAAGGATCAAACATTGAGATAGCCTACAACCTTTAAGTTCCTCAAAAGAAAATATTGCCTCTTCCATTGTATTCTTCTGAGACAAAATTTTCTAAGACATGAATAGCAACAGGCAGATTTTCAGGTGTTTCTTACTGGCTGTTGCCCTTGGTGAGAATTTGGAAGGTGAATTAATGAATCCCTCCTAAAGCTGGATGGCAGCTTGGTGCTGACATCTGCATTCCAAAAGTCCATTCTCCCCCATGCCCTGGAATAGTCTCAGAATACAATTTTTCTACTTAGATAAAAACATGCCTGAGGTGCTGCCAGGGAGCCCCACCCATCTGAAAGGGGCTGTTCCCATGGCCCAAACAGGGCAGGTGCTCTGTCCAAAATACGAAATACTGGAATACTGTAGCCATCTACAGCTATGATAGCAAACTGAATAGCTACAGCTATTATTGTGCCTTTATAACTTCACAAATATTAAAATACAGTTAAGTGCAGTCATCACATTTAAATTGAAAATAACTATCATCTCTGTTTAAACTTTGCAACTAGCTTTTATTAGTTAAGGCTAACTTCTGTTAAAGACAGCTGTGGAAAAATAATTCAAGCAGAGCCATATTATGGAAAAAACTTTAGGGTATTAAGAAAGAATAACTTATTTTTAAATATCTTATGATGATTTAGATTAATACCAGTAATAAATGAGTTGCATATTTCTCCATGAATCAATTTTAAATTAAGGGCTTACAAAACTTGCTGGATATAAACCTTTTTTCTCTCTAATTTTAAAATAATTCCTAGCTTTATGTGGTATGCATGTAAGGAGTGGTGAGAGTGGTGCATCAGCCATACCTGGGGGGAGAGAGAGACACAGATAATTGCAGCTGTACTCAAGCACTACTTACCTTTAATAACTGTTAATAAAACTGAAACACAAAACAAAACCACTAAAACTAAAACCACAGCTTGAGCATCCATGTACAAACCAGTAATTCTAAGAATAAATTGTTCAGACCTAAGTTTTTAAAGTGGTAACATTTTTATTCTATGTTTCTCTTTCTAAACCAGCTCTGAAGTTGCTCCCTTATGCGAGATACAAGCAGAATGTAAGGTGGCAAAAATATTTAAAACTCTGGAATTTCTGTCCAGAGTATTTCCATCCAAAAATATTTAAAACTCTGGAATTTTTTACAGAGTTGGAACACTTACCTGCTGGTGCCAAGGATTTCAGTGATTCTAAAAGATGGGGACTAGAAAACTTGACCAAACATCTGAATGGCTCTTTTTTATCCAAAACATCCAATTTAGGATCACTTTTAAACATCGTCTCAAGCTGTTAACACAAAATTTAATCAGTGAGTACAAGCAATGAATATATTTTATTTATGTTATTACATATTACACATAAACATTTAATTAGACTGTTTCCAATTTGTAATGATAACATGATTCCAGCTGCAGGAATGTTGTAGTGTTGTAGTAAAATCTGAGGGTGCCACCATGTGGCAGTTTTCTGCTGAAAGCAAGAGCAGCTTGTTCAGCAATACTGTAAAACATTTAAGTATTTCTTGGAATTTTCAATTTGTCTGTTCATGCAATAAAACCTGTGCATCACTGAGAAGTCAATTATGGTGTCATACACAGCATAAGCTTTGTATGTACTTAAAATAACCCTTATTTCTAGGCTTCAACACATTGCTAGCCTAAATCTACTTTTGTTACAAAAACAGGGCAAAATGCTGAGTTCACAGGTCTGAAAGACTGAAACACAATCTAAAACTCTGATCAAATTTCAGCCTGTTTCTTACAGAGAATTTTAACTTCATTTATTTTAAAATGTCCTCCCTAAAGTTTAAAAAACCCCATATATTTTTTAAGTTTGAAATTTCATCTAACTACCATTCCATTAAAATTAGAAAACCCCAAATCAAATGGGTTGCTTTTCCTACCCTGTATTGTGCAAATTCGAGTTTTGGTAGGGGACCACTACCAAAAACTTCCTGGTTCAGTCTGTGGATTCTTTCTTTCTCACTTCTGTTTTCTTCAACTATCCTTATATCTGCTGCAGGGGAAAAGAGTAGGGAAAAGAAAACAGAAAGACAACATTGTCAGCTGCTGCAATCCTGTTTTTCTGATCAGATTATTCCAATGAAAATTTGTAAATAATAATTTTAATGAATTCATTGCAGTCTTTTTTTGGATAAGGTAGTTGTCTCTACCATTTATATTTTCAGCTCTTACCAAGAGAAAAACACAAGCTAATGTGAGATACTGGGCACTGAGTGGATTTAGTTTCCATGTCTAGTACCACTCATGGGAAATACTGACCTCTCCCAGTGTCAGCCAGTATAAAGGCACCAGGGATGGATAACATAATAAAGCATATGTGCCTTTCCTTTTATCAATCTCATTTCACAAGCTAGCAGGAATGACATTTAAACATTTCAATTATACATACCATTTTCTGCATTCCCTCCTTGCAGAGGTTTTGGAGTGCAAGTTTGGAAGTTCTAAATGGAGAGAGAGAGGAAAAATTGTTTTAGTTCAGTTCTACTTTTAGAACCTCTAGCTGAAAAGAACTTTAATATATTTCCTTTTATTTCTTATTCTGGAAGAACGATCTTCCAAATTTTGACCATTACTAGAAGTCTGGAAGCCAACATAATTTTGGAAAAAAAAAAAAAGCCTGTCTTAGGATATTTGTGAACATTTCCCTATTTACAAGTTTTGCATGGATGAGCAGACTAAGCACCCATTCCAACAGCCTTCAACTCGTGGCTCTAGGAAGCCTAATGAAAGGATCCTAAAAAAGCTTAGGACTGAATTGTTCATGTTATTTTTAATCTGAGTTTTGCCATCAGGAATTACAATAATAAAGAGTATATGGGATACCAAATAATTACATCCCCACTGCAGTGTTACCTTCACGAAAGGCTGTCCACCTCAGTAGCTCAATATTATTTTAACTTGATGGTCTCTTGGAAAAGGTGAATTTTCCCCTTGCTAAGGGGTGAGAACTAGGCCTGAAACAAAAAGCAAGACTTAGGATTTACTTGTGAAGTGGCTCACCTGGCTATACCTTTTAAACACAATATCTTTAAGGGAGTTTAAAGAATGACTTCGAAGCTCCATTTCACCGATGTCATGGTAATTGGAAGCAACAATCAGGGCCTTCAAATAAAAATTGAAATTGTTTTAACATCAGACTTAATCATCACTTTCTAATATGTAAAAAAAATAGCATCTCTAGACATTGTGATGTCTTTGTTCCAAGGTAAGCAACTGCCCTTTAACTAGGATTTTCATATCTGAAAAAATGTTGCAGAGATTGTTATACAGATCAGGTTAATACTTAAAATTAATTTAAAATTTTAATATTTAAAAGCATTCGCAGTATTAACAAGCTAAGTCCCCTAGTCTTATCAGCTGAAAAATAAACAAACAGAATCATAAAATATTTGAATTACAACTACAGAAATTTGAGGAAATTTCTAAATAGAGGGAAAAACACTACCAAAGCTGATCATCACAAGTACACAGAAATGATTCCCTGAGGAGCTCATATGCTTAGTTCTTGAAGTTAACAGTGTTATCTAATATTCTTCCACTTCTGTGAGACAATTTAATGGAATACTGCCTTAGACTTAGTTAAGAAATTAAATTCAGGAGCAGTAAGAATCCAAATAAACTGAATTTATTCACAATGCACCAATCCAAAGATTTGGGTTTTGCCTCATTTTTATCATGAGCTAAGGAGAAAAAAAAAAGGAGTTTAGCAAATGATGTTAAGTGAGGTGTCTTTACCAATCCTCTTAAAAGCTAACTCAATTGCAGCTCTATATGACTGAGGAAGTCAGTCTGAGCAGTTTTAATCTGTACCTGACACAGCAGAGGCAAGGTGCTCTTCAGCACTGAGGAAGAAATGAAGACATAGGGAGTCTGTGAGTGGTACACAACATAGCTGGGTTTGTACTGGTTTGGTTTTTTATGTGGTGTTCCCCAGGCAACTCTAATCCAGATTGCATTGTCCTCATACTCCTTAAAGGTGATGGTGACCTGAGAGAAATAGAAAAGTTTTGATTTACCAACACATTTGGGTATCCATAAACATTTTCTTATCTCTTAACATCTCTGTTAACAAGACCCAAGCATAATTCAATACCACTGCATGAATAAGAAAAAAAACACTAAGTGGTGTAAGGATTGGACTGAAATAAAATTTCCACAGAAAAACACCTTACAAATGGGATAAAAAGAAGAATTACCTTTCAAACTCTAATATTGTTTTTCTTCCTGTAAGTATACTTTTTTTTTCTGAAGGTTGAAAATAGAAAATAACTTGTTACAAAAGCACTGATCTCTCTTTTGGGAAAACAACACAAAGATGTCTGTTTAGAAGGAGGGCTAGTGGCAATAATTCCAGCATGTCCATTTTTGGAACTAAAGTTTTCATCAACTTGTCATTTTAGACCTGAGTATTTATATATTATAAATATAATAGAATACACAATCAAAAGTCTAAACATTCCCTTTTCTATTCTTGTTGATTTGCTCCTCGTTTACTTCTTTTCATCGTGACTCAAGTAGGTTGACTTAAAAAAAAAAACCTAAACAACAAAACCCCCAAAATATTGCAAAACTCTATTATGAGAGTGATGTGAACTGCAGCTGATTGGCTGTGAGTGTGATTTGGGTTTGTTGCCTCTCCTGTTGTGAGTGGGAACCCACTGGGTGTCAGGGAGTGACACAGGTGATCAGCCAGAGGCATTTTCTATTCTCTTGCCAAATGAAGCTGGTGAGCTAAAGCAACTAAAGGTTCCTCAAACTGGGCAAAGATTTGATAAAAAACCACCAACATGCTGCCTTTCTTGAAGCCAGTCACATTTTAACACAAACTTGCAATTCATTTCCTTCCAGCACAATTCTGAAGTTGCTAAACCAGATATGCAATACATTTTTCCCATTTCACATGCAGTTCCTATCATTCCCAAATGAATAATTCCATTTAATTCTTGACTCAAACTGTGAGGAACAGTTATGAAAACAACATATTGACACCAGAGCCATGAAGCAAATTTAGAATGGATTTATTCTTACATTTTTCAAGGCTGACCGAAGTCTTCTTTTAAACTTTTCTTTGAAATCTGTTATATCAAAATATTCCAATTCTTCTCCTGTTACATGAGACAAAAAAACCCAACCAGAAATAAGATTTGTGTTTACAAGTAGTTTAGAGATGGTTTTAGTTTTGCTGAAACAAAATTAAGCAGAAAAAAAATAAAGTTTCATAACCTTATACAAAAAGCTGTATTTTAATTCTCACCCATGTGATTGTTATACAGAGAAAAGATTATTATTTAATTAGTAATTATGAATGTATAATTGCTGGAGAAGTTAATGGAAAGTATTATTAAAACATTAAAGGTAATCTCCATTGAAAAATCCATACTAGGCTGCAGTAAAATGTTAAAAATCTCTCAACAGAAAACATCCAGATGAGACTACATGAAAATGTAGGATAGTGGTTAAAATGTAGGATATGGGGCAGCACAGCATTAAATTGCTGAGAATTGTGGGATTACAGCAAGGAAAGACATTTTACCTGACTTTTTCATCTGGTAAACACTCCACATTCTTTTGTTTTGGTAGATGTGGTTGTCTAGGAAAAATAGGAATTGCTCAATAACATAATGTATTATGAAACAAGAAATTAAAGGAACAAAGAATTTTACAATACTTTTACAGACAGGTTACTTTCAAAAATATGACTTCTGATAGTGCAATATAATGTATTAACATTCTTAAACTACCACTCACAGCAATCATAAAAGCAAAATAGATTTTTTTAATTAAAGAGATGCAAAGTTCTTTTCCAATTTGGTGAGTGGTTAACAAAGGGCATCCCTGGGGTTCAATGTTTAAGGAAGGGTTTTACCTCAACTGCCCAATGTAAGATATGTAGACTGTTAGAAAAAACATTGAGATTTAAACTATTGTCTAAACAAGTTGTGGACTGATATTGGAGTTCGGAGTTATATACTTTTGTTATCTTGAGCTTTTTGTAAAAGAGGCCACATCCAATAAGATTCATCTAAAATGTGATGTGCTTACCTCAAATGCATCTGCACCCCACAAGGGTCATCCCTATGTAATTTAGGGCATTATCAACTCACTCAAAAAAATGAATATCATTTAAATTCACTTCATACTTACAAATCACGTCTAGAACTGCTGCTTGCTTGATGTCTGCAGAATTTTCCTAGAAAGAACAAGAGTGCATGATGAACTACATGTCCAGAAAGCCAGATCACACTGTTTATCAAGTGAAAAATAATCTCAGTATTGGTAGTTTAAAGGACATTGTACTGAAGCCCACAGCACACACACTCTCTTCAAAGGCACCACACCTGGTCCCAAGTTGTGAGAAATCAATAATGGAAACTATTTCAGCAAGGTTTCAATGTTCCTCTGTAGAGGCAGCAAGAGGAACATAATCCTTACAGTGTGATGTACAAGCAATTAGAAAGAAAATTAATGGGTATTTATGGCAGTGCAACAGTGACTGGTATTTCACTGTCAGGAGTTTTAACATACTGGTTATTGCTTATTTATGCTCTACAGCATGAAAGGATTTTTAAGAAACTGCATGACACAATTTGTTACAGATACAAGTATTTCAGAAAAAATTGCTATTTTAAAATATGGCATTTGCCATCTTATGAGAATAACTGAAGAGTTTCTTTCCTGTAGTTTGATCTACACTCCAAGTAAGCAATTTTTGAGTAGGAAATTCAAGGGAATCATAACAAAAGTTACAGAATTCAAGATGTAGCAGTAATAACTGCATTCATCTGGGTTATGATATTAAAAACTTCTTTATAAGGCTCCTGGTACACTAAAATCAGAGTTAGATCATATAATTTTTTTGCATATAGTGTGCTGAATAGAAATAATTCTGGCCAAGGAAAGTCAAAAAAAAAATTAAAAGTCTAAAAGATATAAACTAGTGATATCATTACCCATACTAAATAGCTTTAAATCAGGAGTTTGCAATGAGTAGACATCTCAATCAATACCTTTATTTTACAATTTAGAAATACACCCATTTTTTAAAGGTGTAACATACTGAGCTTTTATCTACCATATGCAACTTAGAGCTCAAAAGATATATTTGAATACTTAGTATAGGACTGTTCTACACTCCTACAGATCAGATAAAACCAATGGTGTTACAAGCTCAGCTTTACATTTTCCACACTACAAAGTGCCATTTGAGGCTGCGTTGTGGCCAAAGATTAATGTTTTAGTGTTTTTTCATGATGCTTCTCATGCATCCTATATGTCACTGACATTTTTTGAAGGAGAGAATTTACCTCACAGAGTTGAACAACTTCTTGGGAAATGTTGTCCTTTATCTGGTGGAAATTTAGAGTCTGAAGTTGTGCCTCAGAGAGAAAGCCCCATTTCTGCAGCATCATCTTGATTTCATCCTTTGGGATTTTTAGCACAGTTCTTCGGATGTATTCAGCCACAGTTTCATCCATGATGGAACCACCAGGAAAGCTGAAAGGTTAAAGAAAGTAAGACCAAGCCACAGGCAGGCTCAGGGGGGTACAGAGCTGCACAACTGGCTGACATTGATGGCAGTCCTAAGGGCAGCACTACTACAGAATTAGACAGTGGCAAGTTAAAATACATGCAATAAATTACTTAGACACTGAACCATAGAATATCCTGAGTTGGAAAGGATGCAGCAGGATCAGAGTCCAAGTCCCAGCCCTGTGCACGACACCCCAGGAATTCCACCAGGAGTCCCAGCGTTCATCCAAACACTTCTTGAGCTCTGTGAGGCTTGGTACTGTGACCACTGCCCTGAGGAGCCTGTGCCAGTGGCCAACTCCCCACTGGATGAAAAACCTTTACCTGATATCCGGTCTAAAACCTTATTCTGATATGCAGTCTAAACCTCCTCTGAGACAGCTTCATGTCGTTCCCTGGGATCCTGTCACTGGTATCAGAGATCACTGCCTGCCCCTCCCCTTCCCCTCAGGAGAAAGTTGCACACTGCCGTGAATTCCCCTCTCAGTCTCCCGCTCTTCAAGCTGAACAAACCAAGTCTCGTCACGCCCTTAGCAGTCTCCCTGACTGACCGAGGCCTGGTGCGAGCGGAGGGCTGTTGCTACTGCTGTTGCTGTTGCTGTCTGTCCGGTCCGATGCTGTCTGTCCGGGGCCCTCGCACAGCGGCCACGGGCGCGCAAAACCCGTATCCGACCGAGCAGACCGGATCTGCCCCGGCCCCGCCACCTCACGCCGCTCCCGCGCCCGCCTTTCGAACCGACCAATCAGACCCCGCGCCGTGCCCCGTCCATCCAATCATAGGGCTCCCCGCCCGCAGCCCCGCCCCGCTCCGGCGCCTGCGCTCTCCGCTGCGAGGCGGCTTCCGGCCGGGGCCGTCCGAATTTCTGCGTCCGCCCCGCACCGGGGTGAGTGAGGGGCGGCCTCGGGCAGAGCCAGCGGGAAAGGGAAGAATTCAGGGAAAAGAGGGTATAAAGGGAAACTCTCCCCCCTCCTGCCCTATTCCGTTCCAACCGCCTGGCTTTGTGGGGGGGCCGTGCCGCGCCGAGCTCGGGTCCGCCTTCTGGGACCCTCCGCTCACCGCGTAACGTCCTGCGGAGCTCCCGGAGGGCTTTGGGAGGGCAGCCCTGAGGGAGATCTGGGGTCTCTCCGCTGTGGCTGCCGTAAGCTGCTTCTCCTGTCTGTGTGTCCGTGTGTCCGTCGCTTCCTTAAGGCCTCCCGGGAGCGTTGAGGAGCTGCTTCAGTGGGACCCCCCGCATTAACGTGGTCACAGCAGCTGGCAGCCCCTCGCAGCCCGTGGCAGAACCTGAGCAATGTTTACTTTGTGCGAGTGCCGCCTGCCTTTGGCCACGGGATCAGTTTGCTAGCAGGGTCAGAGCCTGTCTTTTCCAACATAGAAACAAATCCTCTTGATCCCTTTCTCTCTGAAGGGGAAAAGCTGGTTTACACTAACAAGAGTTTGACAGGTTCATAGAATTCTTCTTTGGGAAATAATTAAAAAGGAGATGAGATCGAATGAAGCTTGGTGTGGTGGATGCAGCTGAGGTACGAGAGCAGCTGGCAAAGCAGGAATTTGGTGACAGCACCTTGTCCTTATATAATTGTAGAGTGAGTTGGGTTGGAAGGGACCTCAGGGATGATCTTGTTCCAACCCCCCTGCCCCAGGCAGGGACACCTTCCACTGGACAGGAAACTTTGTTTCATGCTGTCTGCATCTTGTCATTCTTATCTGCATATTCTGCACTATATCCCACAATTTATGCCAAAACTCTGCTGATGTTTCTTGTATGAATACGACCTTACATAATTGCCAGGAAGTGAAAATATCTTCTACTGCTTTACTCAATCACCTATTCAACCTTAAATAGAGTTGTAGAAATTAGTATTCAAGTTGGTGTTCCACCTGCTCTGTTCCTTAGGATTAACACCTTCTTAATTTATTTTGCTAAGTATGAAATCAGGTATGGTGTAGTTTCATCAGGTACTAAAAGCAGGTGAGTTCATTCTGCTGCTGTTATTTATCCTTTCACTGATCACTGACTATTCAAAGCTTTTGTCAAAATTATTTGTGTAGGAAAGAGCATTAGGAATGCAGGATTTCTGCTGAAGTGGCACGAATGATACCTTGAGGTAAACATCAGCCTGTTAGGTTTAGAGCTGGATTTTTTATGCTAAAAATTTATACAATCAATCTTAGAGAAAAGAGGATTTGAGTAAACAAAAAGTTGTTGAGATTGTAAATATTTTTTCCAAACACCAAACAGAACAATACGGTATAACCGAGAACGTGAAACTCCAAATGTTTTGTATTAATCAAGTTAGACAGTGACATTAACCACAAAAAGAAATGTTAAACGTGCAGAGAGGAGTGGTGGGTTTGTTCCCCTCCCTGCTGTGAGTCCCTGCTGGGCTTTGCACGCTCCTGCTGCCGCCTTGTGGGCGTTGTTTGAGCGCCTGCAGCAAATGTTTGTGTTCTGTGTTCCTGTAAAGAGCCTCATCCTTAGGAATACAAGTGCTCAGGTGGCATTTTTCATCAGCAGGGTTGCTAAACAAGGATTCGCATTTTGCTTTAAGAGGTCATTTTTCTGAACAGTGGTTTGGGTATTTTTTACCATTGATCTTAGAAAGTTGAAAAAAAATATGATTGTGTTCTTTTCAAATGGAAAAATAGTAAAACTCAGTTTAAAAAATAGTCTACTTACATATTTTAATTAAATATAGACAAAGCATCTTATGGAAACAATTACCTGGATCTAAACCTTCCCTTCATTGTTGCCCCTCAAGCATGGAAAGATTCAGCATTGGGCTAAGCAGCAAAACTAAAGGAACCTAATTCAGTTTTCCTGCTGCATCAGGGAGCTGGTTAGTTCATATTTATGGGAGTTTCTGTGAAAGGAAAGGAACTCCCCTGGATTCCTGACATGCTGACCTCATGGTTGATTTTGGGAAGAAGTGAGAATGTACTGTAGCCTTTGTTTCTCCACACAGGAAGTGTGAGCAAGTCAGGAGGAGAAATTGGCATGTGGAGAGAAATTTTATCCTAAATTTTGGTGTCAAACATGAAATGCCCACAGTGTTTTTCCCTCCTTTTTTGGGTCAGCCTTTGGTTTCTGCCTCCTTCCTGTGTGTCAGCAGTTTTATTTGAATTCTGTAGTACCTGTAGGTTCCTTTTGCCATTATTAGGAAGTATTTAATGTATTGAACACAAATATAGATCAATTTTCAGATTAGGGATGAGTATCACCTCTCAGTAATTTATGTGTTGATTGCTTTTAGAAAATTTGAGATGCTCAGTCTCCCAAGATTGCTTACAAGGAATGTACATTATTTTTCTAAACAGAAATATTAGTATTGGAAGTTCAGAATCATTATCAGAGAATTTTCAGCTTTAGGCTTTTGAAAAAGAATCTGTTTTATGTTGGAAACAATACAGCTGGAATATTCTATATTTTCCCTACTTAAGGAGAAACCAGGCAGGATATGACACTGGAATGTGACAATTTCTTAATTATTTTTTTCCCAGGAGAATAACATAGATATAGAAACTGGTTTAGGAAGTTGAAAGATTAATTATCTTCATCCATGTTTTCTATGTTCAGAGACTAATAGTTTATAGAAATGTTTAAGGTATTTTAACCAAATTATTGAGATACCTATGTAATGTAATTTTTATCAAGAAAGAAAAAATTGCACTGAATCTCTCATCAAACACATTAAAGGGCAGAACATTTCTGTGCAAACCAGTGAAATATGTCAGTGCCATTATGTAAAGAGATAATTTCTTTACTTCTCTCCAAATAGTCACTTCAGATATTAACATTTGCTTAGCATTTTGCAGTTCTGAAGCAATTCCTGTATTTTCTAAATATTGTTCTTCTACTTCACTTCCAGTATTTCTTCTACAGAAATTGTGTGTTTACCTTGGCATTCTTTACCCACATTTCTGTTAGTAGTTTCCTCAGAGCAATTTATATTACTTATTCACGATTTTTTCCTGTGATTTTTTTGTTCTGTTTTGTTTTCCCAGTATTCTTTTATGTATCAATTCCCTTTGAGTTACCTGTATAAAATTCTGTCCATTTGGAGTTAGATTCTGGTAAGATGGCAACTTGCAATTCTTATTTTTCATTAGAATGTTATTAAAAAGAAACTAAGGAAACCAATGTCCTTTCTTCACACAAATTGTTGTTTCCATTGAAGCTTCTGTTTGTCAGTCATTCCCCTCCAGCAAAAAGATTTCAGCTTTCCCTGCTCATTTATAGACCACTGTCTTATCTGACATTCCTGAACATCAGTTTAATACTGAGCACTGGGAACGCTGCTCTGTCCTAACTTCAGGAGTGCTTAAAGCCTCCAGGGAGGCTCAGAAAGATGTTTTGTTCCTTAGTCCATCACATCCTGCAAGAACTGAGTGCTAGAACTTCAACATTCTAATATTGAATGTTATTTGAAAATTTCAGGAGTACTGATGTGGTGTGACAGTTTAGACCTTTGATTTGTGGTATCGATTTCACAAGAGGGGCCACTGGAAAATCCCTTGGAGTTCTTAGAAGGCTTTTAACTAAAAATGCACCATCACCTCTGGTGGTGGCATTGGTGGCTTTCATCCAGGGTCTGAGAATACTTCTGCAAACAATGGCAGTGATTGCTGTTCTTGGTTTAGAAATAATGACTCTTCCCTTGGAATGCTCCATTTGACCTGCTGGCCTGTGCTGATGTGCATTCCCAGTTTCTCTGGACACTGCTCTGGCTTTCTCCTGACACTGCCAGCTCAGATGACAGCTTTAGGAGGCACAGGCAGAGCTGAATGATGAAGAGCTTTAATAATCATCTGGGTTCCCACATGGTAAAGTAACACACAGCCATGGAGCTGGTCACCCTCTCAGGGGAATGCTAACTCCAGAGCTATCAAAAAACTCTACTGATAAATTTAAAACATATTGACTTTGTGTGGCATGCAATCAAAGGCTGGTGGCAATAACACAGCAGGGTTCTGAATCACTTTGCTGTTACAGTCGTGCTCCTGCTGTCATATTTCTAAAGGTTCATTTGTTAATTTGTTGGAAAGAATGCTTAAGCAACTTGTACAGTTTCCAACAACTTCTGTGCTAAGAGTAAGTGTAGTGTAATATTGGACTTCCAGATAGCATGGGGAAGGTTTTGGAAGAAATCACTACAACACTATGTGGAACATATTCTCATGGTTCTCAAGTGGCTTTTAAATGTTTGGATTTTTAAAATTAAGTTTGCTTGTGGGAATCTAACTCTTGTTAAGCTGAACACATAATGGGAGTACTGGATATATGAGTGTACATATATATTAAGCTGAATATATTCCTTGAGCATTCTAGGAATAGCAGTGGAGATTATAATTGTCAGACCTGCAGCTGAATTTTGGGATTTTGCAATAGTAAAATCTGACCATTGGCTGCTTGCATTTGTCCAGTCTGTCTAGCAGGAGTGTTAATACAGGGCTGGCTGCTCACTGCAGGTTGTGGTGGTGTTTGCCTGGTATTGCAACTGGAGAGGTGATGCCTTTGGGAGAAGGGGAAAGGACAAAATACTAAGCAAACAAACAGGCATCACCCTAATTCAGTGGCAGTATGGACCATAAAAATAAAATTTCACCAAGATGAGCCCATTTATCCTGGTATGAACTGGAGCTTTCTCCTCCCCTTCCTGAACAAAGATGTCATCTTCCTTCAGCCACTGCCATATGATGCTTTCAATCCATTTCAACTGAAGAACTTGCTCCCTCTCCACAGAACCCTGCAAGAAAGGGTGTCCCCCTTTAGTGTTTCAGAAAGAAAACATCACAGAAACCTAAATGCTTCCTTCCACTGTGTGATGGGGTGGGGGATTCCTGTAGGAGAGCAATCCCATTGCTTTCACAGGAGCATGGTGAAAGAGCAAGAGGCAGCAACATGCAGTTGCAAGAAGGAACTTTTCAATTCTTTGTCATTTAAAAAAATACCAATGCTGTTTTGATGAAGTGATTATTGGTTTTTCAAGCATCACCAATGTCTGGATTAGGATTTTTTTGAAGTGTGTAGATAGCTAAAAAAGATGCCAGTTCCCCGAGTGCTTTGAGCTTCCTGTTGTAATCTTTGTAAAAGGTAGAAAGAAAATCACATACACTTAACTTTTTAAAGTAAGAAAACAGAAAATTGAAGTAGGAAGGTGAAAAGATAATCTGGAGTTCAAGAAAGATTAATGCTGCTAGAGAGTCCCTGAAAATTAAAATCTTAGTTTTGTGTTTGTCTGCGATAGCCAAGATTATAAACTTCTAGCTGACTGTTAACATTTGGGTTGTGTAGAAGATCAGACATGTGCTGGGTTTAATGACTGTAACCATTTAATATAAATGATATGATTAACTGCATTTTGATCTCAAATATTGATAAAATAACACAGTGATAATATCTTATGTTAAATCAGACTTGCTAGTGACACTGTTTTAATGTTGGCAGGTGGAAATTTTCTCAGATTCCTGTCCCTGTGCTACTAAAATCATCCCTAACTAAAGATGCATCCAGACCTGTCTCCTCATCTGCACACTGAAGAGTGTAACCTAATTATCAGTCTGCTCAAGAAGTGTCACAGGGAGGTAAGAAGTGTTGAGCAGAGAAAAGAGTGGGTGGGTTGGGGAAATGAGTGTCAGATAAATTAGTGGTGATATTACATGATCATGCAGAGAAAACCCTCCTCTAGGCAGAACAGCCATGAAATATAACTGGTGTGTTTGCACTGAAGAGCTGTCTGATGACTGTGTAAAATCATGCCAGTGACTTATTTAGGAAATACAACATACCTTAACATTTTCTGTGCTACAGCTTAACACTTAGGGACCTGTTTTAAGAACTGGAATAACTTCTGCATCTCTTAGTACTGTGAACCCCTCAAAAATCAATGATAAAATCAGCTTCAAATGTCTTCTTTTTGTATGCTCACAGCATCTCCATCTTCCAGCTGTGCCTGGGGCAGATGATTCAGGGTGGTTAAAGCAGATGTGTGGATGGGGATCCCCACAGCCACAGTTCAGTGTTTGGAGAGATAATTGGGAATTACTCCTTGACTTCCATCTTCTAATTGGGCACCCACTCAAGGATGTGAAATGCTAAGTTGTGTTCAGGCTTCTCCAGGCTCTTCATTGCTTCAAGATTATGGAATCCTTATCTCACTTGTTTAAAAGCCTTTTTATAAATTTGCTTTGTCTGCATCTCCTAAATGTAGATTTGGCCCCTGCATTGAAAGCTTTCTGCAGCATCTTTGCCATGTTGTTAATTATTTTCCCAGTATATTATAAATAGATATTCTGCAGAAATAATCTTGAGGTATTATTGCATAAAAAAGTTAAATTTCATTGTTTTTACCAAGATAAAAATATTTAAGTATTCACTATGATTATGAAAGCTCTTGATTTACACCAGTACATGCAATCTACAATATTTTCACCTCCATGGTTGGTTGTGATGTTGATTCTTTTTTCTAATGCAGTTGGATTCTAAAACAATACAAATGTTAGCTTTATTAGTTTTGAACAGAATTGTAAATTTTTCTTTTCAAAAGCCATTGCAGGATGAGAAGCAAGGCTGATAATTCACAAAATGTGAGAGAAGACATTTTATCTGAAAGATGGGTAACAACATTTTTGCAAGATTTTAATATAGCTAAAGTAACTTATTAAAAAACATTTTCAGCACCACACCTTGTTATGACTTTTAAATTACAGCAATGAAGGGAGCAGAGTTTTAATACTAAAATTCATTTGCAGGGAGTATATTGTTCTGATTTTCTTCAGCAACATGCAATTTGTTTTGTTGGCACTTGGAGTGCAGTATCTTGAAAGATGAGCACACTGCAGTCTGTTGATACCATCTCACAGGTGGTACTTCCATTCCACTGCTCCTGCACAGAACATCTCCAAGCTTTAAAACTGAAAGTTGAATTGAATGTAGGAATTATGCTTTTCTTCTGAGTTCAGAAATTTTAATTTGCCTAAAAATGCTTTATGTAGTTTGAGAGACTGTAGAAACTTTTTTCCTTTCATTTTTTAGTTGATATTTTTTGCAACAACTTTAATGTCATAATGTGGGTAAATGTTCTGTAGCTGGAATTTAGTGAGAAGACTGCAGGTATCAAAAGGATTGCCAAATGACCATCAGTCAGGAGAACAGGCAGCATGTAAGCAGTAAAAAGTGAAACTGCTGGAATTATTTTTTCATAATTGTGAAAACAAATCCAATTAGGAAAGAAAATACATTCAGATTTGTCCTGAATACCTAGGGGAGCTTTCTGTGCTTTGAGTAGGAATGCAGCAGTATTGATTTACTGCTTGCAGGTAGTGAATGGCTGGCTGGCTTTTTGTTTGTGGTTTGGATTTTTTTTTTGTTTTAAATGAATTGAAGATAGAAGTATCATGGAGTTGTGTGATGTTGCTTATTGGACTGCCTTGAGAACTGGCACTAAAGGGTACACCTGAACTCCCTGGCAGCAAGTGATTCAAAGGAATCTGTTGTCAGTCTGACTTATGAAGGCACTGGGAGCAGCAATAATAATCATGCACAGAATTATCTTCTCTTGGTTTTGTTTGAAGTTGATCTTTGCATGAAGAGGAATTACTTTTGTCAGTCTTGTGCTCAGCTGGGAGAGGATGTTTGTGCTGGCAGTCTCAGAACAGAAAGGGTGAGGATGACTTTTGCACACTCACTTGAAAGGGAGCAATACTTTTTCATTTGAAATTCAGTGGGAATGTACTGAAATATTCTTTTTAAATTTAACTCACTGAAATCTGAAGTCAGTGATATGAATGAGTTATTGATGACTACTTGCTGTTTTCTTAAAATGCCAAAATGTCCTAAGAACCTTAATCTGCAATTTAAATTGCCATTCCTGAGGGATGAAAAGCATTATTTTTAAATTGGGTGTCCATTTTCACAACAGTCAATTTGATTTACTTTATCCCTAATCTAGAACCTGTCCTGTATATCAAGTTTTGTATCAAGTGAAGAGAGGTTAATGGGATTCCTATTTGATGTCACTTCTTTTTTTTAATAATTCCACTCTGGTGCCAAGTATGTGCTATAAATAAACGAATTTTTATAGGTAGTAGCTCAAAGAAATGTGTATTGTGTTGCAGTTGTACCACTGTAATTAGTGTAATAGCTATTTTTGAGAAACTCATTCTTTGTTTCCCTTATCATCTCAGCCAAGAATTGACATTTGAGGAATCTGGCTAAATAAACATATGTTAAACCCACTGTATGCACTACTCAGAGTGGAGTTAGCTTGAAATGTGAGTGTTCACCTTGAAATTTAACATGCAGGTATGCAAGTAGAATACAAAATTAAATCTGTATTAGCTGGAATGAAAATGTTGTAAAAGCAAGAGCAGTGTGCAGTAAAGTGACAACTTGTTCTGTGCAACTGCTTCAGCCATCTGATGCCCTTCATAAATCACAGAGGTATAAACAAGCTAATTATAGCACTGCTGTAGTAAAGTGTTTGTCATAAACTTTATCAACCCACTCCTACTTCAGTTGTGTTCTGTTGGGTGAGATCTTGTTCATAGTTTGAATCCTTAATAGTGTTCATGGATCACTTGTATGAATCCATCCAGCTGCTTGGTCAGGAAATGCACATAGAATTTCCTCTGAAATGTGGAAGGGACTTCATTTGCATCTGTTTTGTTCTTCTTGGTCTTTTTTGTTTGAATTCATGAGTTGTCTGTAAGATTGGCTGAGTTGTCTCCATTCATTGTGTAGCTGCAAATATCTACTAAAAATCCCCTCCTTCAGGTCTTCTAAATCACTTGGGTGCTCTGCTGCCAGGTCCTGCCCTGACATTCTGTAACATGGCACCAGCATGGCCCTGAAAAGGCAGTGCCCCTACAGCCATGCATTCTGAGAGTGCTTTAATGCCCAGAAAAATGGAATTGCTCTGAGAAATCCTGGCTAAGAGGACAGATTTCTATGGTGAATACCATCATGTTAGCTGTGGAGAGCCTTCATGAGAACAAGACCTGCAGTTTTTTTAGAAAATAAGGAACACTTAAATGTGGTTAAGGCCCACAATTGAGCTGTGCCATAAAGATGGTAAATGCAGCTTATTTATTAACCTCAAGATCCAGAGATTTTTTTTATTCTGGTTCTGATGTTCCAGTCAGTTAAGCCTGGTGCCTGCATCTTCTGGACCAACAGCACATTGTTCATGCAGCTGGGACAATGGAGCAGTGAGTCCTTTGCCTCTCTGGGTGACCAAGAAATAATGAAAACTAATGCAGGGAGGACATTGCCTCTGCATCACAACCTGGAGTCCAGAGTATTTATTGTTTGTATGTTATTTAACCAAGGGTGAGTGAGAGTTGTGAGACTGACTTCCAGATCAATAAAATTATGTTCTGCATTTAAACAACAGCTCCAGCTTAGGTGTCCTCCTTTGGTGATGCATGGTGAGTTCCTTCAACTCTCAGCCAGGCAGGGGTGGCTCAAGTGAACTTCAGGGGCAGCTTGAACCTCTGCCTGCTTGGGAAAGAAGTTGCCAAACACCACTTTTCACAAGAAAGGGAAAGGAAAAGACCAGGATATGTTGAAAAATGCAAATGAATTTAAATAAATACAGAGCTTCAGAGGAAAAAACCTTTGAATTGTAATTTTTTTTTCTCCTTAACTCATCAGCACAATGTTTTGAAGTTTTTTGGCCACTGCAATGATATTGACCGTGAGATGAGGAAGTGCTTAAAGAAAGAGGTGAGCAATAAATTATAAATATTGTGAGTTAAATGCTTAATAAAAAATGGGAGAGAACTAGAGTTGTTTTTTACTAAGTAGTATGAATCAATAAATTCAAGCACGTTCTGCTGTGGGCACTTGAGACCAAATCCAAACTTTTAAAAATAAATTTGTCAAATAAAATCTGGCATTAACAAATGGCATGGTGTATTTTTGATATACAGAAATAGGCAAACACATTTTAATGAAACAAATATTGCAGATAGGAACTGATGCTTCACAGATTGCTTCTGACTTTTTTCTTAATTTTTTTTTAGTAGTGGTATTTGCACAGAATTTAATATAAAGCAGTAATGGTCACTTCTGCATAAATAACACTTAAAGCTGAAGTCAGTTACACTGACTGAAACTGCTTAATGAGTTGCTGAGTTAGGCCCTAAATGAAAATATCTGCAGATATGAAGGAATGAAGACAGAGTTTAGGTGGATTAACTGTTTTAATAGGCACATTTTCAGAAGAGTGCTCTTTATATTTATGGTAGTTGTACCTACATGACAGAACATATAAATGAACATTTCACACACTTTTTAACTTTAAACTGTACTTTCTAATTTTTACATAAATTTCACCATACTAAAAAGTTTCTTTCCACATAATCTTATTATTCTTATTTTTTCTTCCACTGAAGCCTTTCCATTAGAGGAGTTCTTGATGATTATATTTATTTGCCTTCTTAAAATGTGCTTATATTGATATGCCATTACTAGGAAGCCCCTGAAAGGTTGTTCACCAATATTGAATAGGTAAAGATGTAGTTTTTAAAGATCCATTGTTCTCATTCTACATAAAAGCATGGATGGGTTATTGAAAAATTAAATATTGGCAAGGGAAAAAGTTAAACATTCTGTAAATGTTAAGTAATGTTTTGGGTCATTATTTCAGTTATAGACCAATCAGTATAATGGATGAAAAACTACAAATCCTTTTCAAAATCAATTTCTTTAGTAGTTTATTACATTATATAGAGAATTGAATATTTGTGGCTTACTTGGGTTTTATTCTTGATACCAATTATTAAAATATTGAACAAATATATGCTCTAACCTAAGGACAAGAATAATTTTCTTCTCATGAAATACATATCAAATGGTGCATTGATTTTTAATTTTTCATTTATTTGAGCCATGAAAATATTTCCTTTTCATTTGCCATGAAAGAAGGGCTCTTCAAGATTCTCCTGGTGCAGGGGGTACTTGAAAGCATGATGATCTTATACAAGTATCTTAGCTGTGAAGGCTTTCTTGATTGCATTTTATACTGGAGTCCTCTGTTGTGGTTCTTGTTTAAACCATTAAAAATCCCCACATGCCTTACACTCTCATTCAATCCAAATTTGTCTTTGTTCCTTTCATCTTGGTATCCTTCTTTATCTGTGCTTGTAGTTAATGACCAGGATCAAAAATAGACCAAGCCTGTGATGACAAATTCATTTTTCAGAAGGCAGATCCACATTAATCAGTATCTTGCAAAAGGAAAAGAGCCTGACCTGTGCTCTAGAGTAGCACCAGTGCAACTTTTTTTTCCTAGTTCATGTGTGAAGTGTAGCTGTGTACATTAGATCACTGTATAATTAAGTTCCTCCTTAAGATTAACTGAATATTCATTATTAGAATGTTCTAAGGCTCTTTAGCTTAATAACCTCAAACTTAGAAACCTGTATTTTAATGGAACAAATGTTAATTTCAAAGTACAAATGTTAATTTCAAAGTAAAAACAAACCTATATCTAGATATTAACAAGAGCTGTATTTCTAACACATCAGTCAAATGTATTGTTTCTGTTCCTGGGTTGTTGAAGGCGAAGGGAGATGACCCATCTTTGTTGATCAGCATCAACTCCAATTTATTGATCAAATCAGCCACCTTTTATAACAGTGTTAATTAAGCTAATGCATATTGCAAAATTCGAGCTCACGATGGGCTACAGAGAAAACTCTAACCCCTCCTTTTGTTTACAATACCTGTGGTTTGTTTATTGAAACCAAGACCAGTGTTCTCACCGTGATATGAAAAGTTCTCAAAACCTTCATATCTGTTCCCAGAGCAGCCAAGGACAGAATGTTTACCTGTTATGACAAGACTGTCTGAGAATCTTGTTGTTTATAAAAAATGTGCTTGAGAACCTAATTATTTACAGAATCAAGCCTGGGAACTGCTGCTTTACAGCTGCCTTTTACTTTTCCATCAGCTGTATACTTTCATGGCCTCTTTCTTTAAGCCATGTTTGAACCAGGCTCTCCACACTGGGTAAAAAATGCTTCTACAGTTTTAAATTTGACACATGTGTTTAATGATAACAGTTGATGTATTAATTTCCTTCTCTGACTTGCAGTACGAAGAAAACAGGCGCAGGAACCGGGAGAAGCGACAGAGGATGATGAACGCGCACAGAGCCGCAGAGCAGTGAGCGCTGCTGGGGCTGGGCAGCTGCAGCTCCACAGGGATGTCACTTGTCCAGCCTGTGGTGTGTGAGATGGTGACAAAATAAAGGCATCTAATGCATACTCATTCCCAGCAAGGCAAACAATGTGAAAAAAATAAATACCATACATCACTCACAACCTAAGTTAATTTTCGACCTCTAAAAGAAAACTACGGTGGCAAATCTTTGTTCTGGCATTTTTATGGTTGTTAAGTAATGAGGAGTTGGTGTGTGTGAGGTACTGTGTGTTCCCCACTTTGTACTGAGTTGCATTTATCTCCTTGTGTTTAGCAGTTTCTTTTTCATATCATAGGCTTTGTAGTGACTTTCTGTTTGTTTTTCATTGCAAAACACTAAGTTACTTTTTTCATAACTTTTTGTAGTGTTGTGATAACACTTTTAAACGGATTAGGAAAGAGAAATTTTAAACAGATGTGGCTTGAAATTGGGAATTTCCTATCAAGGAGTAATTGGAGTTCTAGTATTTTTATGGGAGCTAAAAGGATGAAGCTACTGTCTTCAGCTGAGAAGATTACAAATCCTCCCTGCCAACCATATGTACAGTGTAGACTGTTGTAAGACAATTTGTTCATCATACCCAAAACAAGCGGCTTTAGAAATTCAGAATGGAACATTTCCAGGGATTTACAAAGCTTCCCCTTGATTTTTGTTGAGTACAATCAATGTGTGCTGAGTGATTTTTGAAGAGGAGTGCCGCCAAAAAGATAAGCTGAAGTTCTTCCATTTTCTCTGGTACAAAAGTAAAATCACATTATGACAATTGAGGTTGAAGCAAAGCTGACACTGAAGTGAAGAAAAGTGTAACTTTCTCAGGCAAGTCCATGTGTGTTGTGTGACCAGGTTGCCTTGTTAGCCTATCAAAGGTGTTTATTTTCCATCAAACTGCTGGAAGCCCAGAACAAGTCTCAGAATTCAGAAGATTTGATATCAAAACATACACTGGTTTGTCCACTGGTGGAGCTGCTTCTCTGTGTGTCTGCTGGATCCGCCTTACTTTTAAATAATGCCTCTGTTCTGCCTAGCAGCAAAGGACTTTTTTAAAATATAAATTTTGTTGAGCCAAATATACAAAGTATCTAGAAAACTTTTGGAAAAAAGGTGCCTGTTTTACAGTGAATTACATGATTTGTTGTAAGAACCATTGTTGATACTCAATCTTGAAATTGGTACGTGCCCCTGTTTTTGGAAGAAAATGGTATTTTGTGAGCTCTTTTGAAGGGTGAATTAGAATAATTTTATTTTTCAATACCTCGATGGACCCAATTAAATCAGTAAAATTAAACCACAAATGTTTTCAGTGACAGCTCCAAGCAAAGCTGAAGCAATTGTTTCTGCATCTTGACACGATGTTTGTTTCTTAGAACAAGTAAATGATGCACTGCTTGGATTAGTACTTGAATAGTTGGAAGTGGTGCAGCCTTTATTGGTATTTTTCAGAGTATTTTGAAAGGGTACTTTGTAGTGAACTCCCCTGTCTTGGAACTCTGCATCCATGGTACTTCTTCCATTTGAGATGACACAACCTACTTCAGGCAAGCTCTTAAATAGGATTTGTAGCCTTTAAGTAAATAAATAAATTGAGAATTGTTCCAGAGATTAGGTTGAGAAGCTGATAGCTGAGTGCAGAAGCACTGAAGCTTTTGTTTCCTTAATCAGCTTCTGTGAGTCCCAGTCTTTCACAAAGCAACAAAATAAGAAACCAAGAGCCACTTAACACAGCTCATTAGTCAGAATTGTGTTTGCAAAGATCAATGTGCTTAGTGAATGAAAGACCAAATGGCACACACAATTCCTATTGATACTTTAAACTACATTTATTTATAAATCTATTTTACAGATCAGCTTTGTTTACTTAGTGAAAGTCTGAGCATGGTCTTCCTTCTGTTTCTCTTTGCTAATTGCCCACTAGTAGTGTGATATGAGAGTGCCATTGATTCCTGTGGGTTTTTTTCCTTTTGTTTGACAGAGAGTTCATGTTGCTAATTTGATCTTGAAGCTGAAAAACACTGGTGTAAAAATACTGATCATTTATCTGACAGAGAAAGGGGTAAGGGTGAAATAGTAAATGTGGGTTTTTTTTCTTGTTTCCTAAAGCAAGCTTGGGTGAAATAAACCTTTTCTCTACAGACTTTGAAGACAGTTTATTGCAATGTCATTTGTGTATAGGAACATTTTGCCCATTGTTCTTTCTGACAGATTGTATTTGAAAGAGAAAAGAGATTTCATGGAATTCGTGTTGAATTGCATGTGAAAAGCTCGTGTGTTTCATGTTGGAAAGTGAAGAAGGGGGAAAGAGAAGGGGGAAATGGCAGCTCTGGCCATAACAATGAGGATTTTCCATATTGAAGTGTCATAAAAGTCTAGGATACATGGACAGGAGGAGGACAGAGCAAAGGGAATTATAACTGTCCAGCAAAATCCCTCTAGTTTTATTTGTAGTGTACTTTCTCTTGCTGGAAAACTAAATGACATTCTGTTTTCCTTAATTTTTAAAAGTTTTATATTTTAGTAAAAGGAAAAATATTCTGCTGAATAGCAGCAGCAAAGTCGAAGAACAACAGGGTGAGTTCTTGCTCTGGTGTTAATTTCTTTATACAACAGGGCTTGTCTCCTGTTAAACTGCAGTGCTGAATGTTAATATATTATGAATGTACCACTCATCTTTCCCTGTAAACTTTAGCTGGTAACATCCTCAAGGAATTATGTCCTTTGTTGCTGATACAGATGATGTGTCATTTCTATACCTTGAAGCAAAGCCTTGATTTAGTTGAGCTGACTGTACAATTTGGGAGAGCACTAGTCCTGTGAGTTAGTTATTTCCTCTGTTACTGGAAGTCACTGTAATGAATATTTCCAATGTATTATGCACTTTGCTGAAGCTCCACACCTCATGTATAAAGTGTATTCAACAGTCAGGCATTCCTGATTTTGGCACTGCTCATGTTTTAAAAAAATTCATGACATCTAATACAATTTTTTTTCTGATATAAATGAAAACACACTTTTGTGGAATACCTAAAAGGATTTAGGTAAAAAATGGAAAACTGGAAACTGATACCACATTCTGACAGTTGAGTTAAAAATGAATTATTAACATTAGTGCTTAAGCAAAAGAGATTCTCTACCGGGACAACATAATGGATTTTAGTGCTGCAACTTAAGTTACACATTGAGTTTTATTAGCATGGATTAGAATGGAGCATCAGCAAATCTTCAAATGCCCTGACGAGTATGGGTACGTGTGGCTAAGTTACAGTAGCGCTGATACCCCCATGTCATCCCCAACACTCAGGTGCTGAGAGCACAGGCCGTGTTTTATTCGCATGACATTAGCGGGCTAATTTCTACAAAAACCTTTGATTGGAACACGTTTGCTTTGATTTGAAACCTTGGCTGCCAGCAGCCGGACACTTGAGTTGTTCCACTTGAAGTAGATGTGATTTCCCCTCCAGCCCCTGAAGCGGCTGCTCCCCGCGCTGCCCTCACCGCGCTCCGGCCGTGCCGCGATGCCTTCGGTGACTGCGGCTCGGTCCCGGCAGTGCCACTGGAAACCCTTCCTTACAGACTGCCAGGAAGAACATCGGGAATGCTTTGGTATTTTCCCCGAGGGCTGGCAGAACTGCTCGCTGTCAGCCGACAGACACCGGACGTGATCGTGCCCTGAGCGGGGCGGCGGCCGCTTCGGAGCTGCACAGAGCGGCCTGCGCTGCCTCCCGGGGCCGGCTGTCAGCGCTTGGCGCTGCGGGACCACCGCGATCGGCAGCGCCGTCTCCTCTCGCCGCCTGGCAGCCGGGAACGTCGCCAGGCTCGGCGGCCACGACCGGTTCCCCGTGTCCTGTGCCCCGTATCCCGCTCTCCTCATCCCGCGCCCCGTTCCGCACCCCGCGCTGCGGGGCTCAGCAGCGCCGCCCAGCGGCCGCTCCGTCCCGCGGGAGGCGGCGGCGTTCCCGCCGCGCGGGCGGGGCCCCCTCAGGCCGCACCGCCATGTTGGTGGGTGCTGCTTCTGCCGCTGCCTTGCGGTGTCGAGGTGTTGGTCTGTGCTGAGGATTGGCCACAGTCCTTGTAAGAACCGGGTGCTGGTGAGGTGCCATCGCACCTAGATTCTGTGCAGTCCAACCACAGTGCCTGCCTCAGGTAAAACGACATCCACACTCTTCCCTCATGGGCCAAAAGTTGTCCCAGCTGATCCCCGTGCTCTGTATACTTTGGGGATGCTGCTGATTGCTCGTTGATGTGAATTCTCTTGCACAATCCTACTCCTGTTTATCACCCAATGTTTTTATTTATATAAGTCAAGTCCATGTTGTGCTCAGAACAGCACAACAGTGCTAATTTCAAGTGTTGAAATTAGCAAACGTGGTTGGACTCTGCTGTGTCCAGCACTGAGCAAGGCTCTGGCACAGGGCCTCACGTGTAGCCACAAACCACAGCAGGGATTGACACTGACAGTACCAAAACCTCATCCCTGTGGTATTTGGTAGGGTTAGAAAACTACACCTCTGTGTCTTCCTCCCCCTGGATTGGTAGTTACAGGTGTAAGAGATATTTTAGAAAGAGCTGTGTTGTGCCTTAGTACAGCCACTCCTGTTTTCCATAGTTCAGCAGAATATTGGAACTGGCTGATGCACCTGGCTCTGGAAGCAGCCAGGAATAAAAGATCATCCTCAAAGATAACTGGCATGGATGAAGTTTTGATTTATTAGTGATTCATTTTGTGTAGCTTAATGATTGGTTTGTCACTTGCTCTGGGTATTCTGTAATATTGTAATTATTTATTCAGTGGCACCTTAGACCATGCATGCAATGCACAAAACAATCCACCTCAGCTGTCTGTTAATTGAAAACTGCAGCTTTTAATTCTTAACTTTCCTGTAGCTTTCTGAGCTACATATTTGTGTGGCTTATTTAGCTGTGTTTTGGTTTGGTTCATATTCTAACATTCCTGGTAATGAATATATAAAGTACTTTGTGTCTAAGTGGCATTAGTTAGACAGCTGCGGTTACAAACAACCCACATAATCATACTAAATCAATATTAAATGTGTGCTACTGAATAGTTGTCTTTGGGATGCTGATGGTCCCAATTTAATTTAAACTTCATCCCACTAGTGCTCCAAGAAAACCTCAGAGGAAAACAAATCAAAAATCAAATCCCCAAATGAGTAACTCCGAAGGGAATAACAGATCTTTCATAATTGGTCCACAGTGGCTTCATTTAGGTGGATGTACAAGTGTGTGGTGTGTGGCAGCAAACACTCCAAAACCTCTTGGCTGTTCACTGCAAGAGAGGGAACAACTGTGAAGAATGGGTGTCAAGATGCTTTTTTTTTTTGGTGATAAGTTAGTTTATTTGAACTAGGAAAATAGAAAAGGCTCATTTGAGTTACGGTATTTAATGTGATGAGAAGATATAAATACTAGAAGTTTCTTCAGAAAGCCACTTTGTCCTCAGTGTGATGCAGCTGTGCTGCTGTTGGTTCTGTTTGCAGGATGGCCAGGAATAGATGGTGAGGGCTGGAGAGGGGCAGCAACAAGGAAACCTGACACTTTCCTCTGGAGCTGCTTGGTATTCAAAATGGAGACTCTTAAGTCATCTGGTTATAACAATAGCTAGACATTCTCCCTTGGATTTTTTTTTTTTTTTTTGTGCTGGGCTTGTGTTCATGGGCCTCTGTTTCTGTTCTTGGGGCTGTGTTCAAGGTGAGGGCAAAAATGATTTAGTTGATCTAAATCTCCTGCTTGGGAAATTGCAAATTATTGCAGGGAATGCGCATTGAGTGGAAACCAATTCCAGTGTCCAGTACTCACTGGAAATGTTGCAATCTCTTGTTGTTAATTAGGTGTTAAAATGTTTTAGAAGAGACTGCACACATAAGTTGTGTACTAGATGTATTACAGGAGAACAGAAAGTGAAGATACCTGCAAGGGAAATGAGAATTCTGCCTTTGAACAGAACAGCAGGAGGGGAGCCTGGCAGTATGAAAATATGTCTTTTAATAGATTGAATATCTGAGGAGGAACTTGGGACATTAATCATCAGGACTTTTATTTGGGGCTTGATGTAGTTACAGATCATCAGGCCAGTTCTAGTGTGTTGTGGTGCTGCTAAGGTGAAGTTTCCTTGTGTTCTTACACCAAAAATGATGTTTAAGAGATGTAGGTGATGCCTGGCAAGGATGAGTCAGGTGGACCTGGGTGTCTGCTGTGTCCATTCCTTAGTTGT